CACAAATATCAAATTGAGGATTTTTGCTAGTATCGAATTACTTGTATTCATATTACATTAATCCTTTTTTTGTAAGGCTTAGTTAGTATAAATAGCGTTTCTCTAAATGCTTTACGTTACAGTTATGTTTTAGTTTACTGTGTGCATTATAACTATTATTCATATGATTAATAAATTTTGATAACAGCCAAATAGTACTTACTGCTTTTTACTCTCACTAACGACTGCTCAAGGGATTCGCCGATACATTCCAATTTTTATAAGGGGTTCGCAGAAAGAAAAAGGTTGAGAACCGCTGATCTAGACTATTCAAGTTAAGAAGCAGTTTTTATTTCTGAAACGTCTAGAATCATGCTGTGTTGTGCATTACCTTCAGGCGAGTTTGAATGGAAAGCCGTCTATATAAGCACTGTCTGTATAACATGTACACTCGTATGTAGGTATTCTACTTAAGGATAGCTTCATTAATTACATGTACGCTTATTTTTGAATCCAATCATCCCCCGTTTACAGTGTTATCAATTTTTTTACTTTGGATCGAGGTGTTTTAAATAACACTGTAGGAGATACGAAGTTGGCCACATGGAGGGCAAGGTTGTGCATTCAGGTAACTAGGAAAATGGCACTTAATAAGTTTTGCAATTCCGAGAATTTTCCGAGAAGAACCGAACTTTCCCTATCGGTCTGTCCGCTAATCCTTGGGTCGTCTATACGTTGGACAGTTGAACTCCGATTTTGATGATTTTTTTACACAAGGTCGCTAATTTGCAAAGAACGAAAAAGCATTGTAGTTTTTAAAAATTTGCAACCCCAGTAATTCTAAGAACCTATCAGATTTGCTCTTAAAACTTGAATGATGGAGATATTTCCAAAATACCGTGCTGTGCAACCACTGAGCGTATTTCTGTGTGCTTCAAATGCTAATAGTCAGCTGAACGTTAATGGGTGCTTCCGTGTATTCAAGGCCGTGCTGGATTCGCCAGTCCCGAGGCATTCAGAGTTGCCACGTTGCTCGTAGCTAGGTACTGTCGGTAAAACGTTACGCTAGATGGTAGTGTTTTGAAATCTCTGTGCTTATTTATTTGTTATACATGTTACTAGCCAAGAGGGACTAACATTTGCCGAATGTAATCCTTCATGAATTGCGTAGGAAGTGCAGGTTAACTCAGTTATTAATAATAGACGTCTTAAATTATAAAAAATATAAATGATCGAGGTAGTCGCTATGAATTTAGATTAGTAAAAAGTTAATACAATAACAATAAAAGCATCGAGAAAACAAAAATACTATATGTGTATAAGGTGATATTTTAAATCGATGAGTCAGTCCACCCTTTTTTGCCGATTCGTTTGTGCTATACCAAGTTCCGTCAAGATAATATAGCAGCCTACTTCCGACTCTATATTCCATTATTTTTTCCAAGAAAGTCTGTCGCCAGTCCACTATACGCCTACTTTTTATAATGTATGGTCTCATACCACGTTTCTTATTTTGGCAGTCGTTACTGCACCTAAAGGTCTAGAGGTCCCCTGAACAGATCTGCTTCTCCTTGGTTTTAAACCAATTTGAATAACATTAGCTATTGTACTAGGTATGTGGAATATTAGTCAACTCAGTTTGCATTTTCTTTTAAAAGTATGACAATATTCTTGACGTTCCCTCGCTGCTATTGTCACTATCTACCGCACTAGTTACCGCAGATTGTCAGTTGACCTATATTCGCATGTTTGCTTTCAATTGTCTCTCCCCAATGACTAAGCCCTATACCGTACTGACGATTGGTAAAACGCATGAAACAAAATCGTATATGGTTCGTCACAGGCACAGAGATGGAAAACATGATCCTATTTACCCTACCAATAAAAAGTCTCTAAATAAGCTTAATTTTTTCCGCTTGTTTTCATACATCTAATGAAAAGTAAAACACCGATAAAATGAAAGAGAAAAGGATTTTATCCATTTATAATATGAAAGCCTAAAATTTATTGCGCTGTTCTGCTGTAATTAATCCCTAAAAATGGATTCTGAATTGGTCCAGCGATAGGTTCGGGTGGATATTCATCAATATAGAATGCACCCTGCACCTGTTTCGTATTTCACCCTGTCACCGACATTTTTATTATTATACTCCAAACTCAATTCCATTGGAAGCTACTGCGTTGATCAAATTTGATCGGGTGATTATACCAGGTTTTTGCAACGTATCTACGAGCATTCTGCCAACGTAAAGCGGTTTATCGGTGCATGCTGCGTAGTAGTATTATATCCGTTAAATAGGGTTGACAGATCGCAGTACTGATTATTCAAATAACCAAATCTGACAATAACGTGAAGGCTGCTGCCGAGCTGACAAGCTCACTGGCTACTAACTGTTATTCGGCGGTATCGCTGATCGCTCGTATTGAAACATGAACACGCATTTGCAGTCCGAGTGAATTTCCGAATTAACTTTAATGACAGTGCGGACTACGGTCTCTTTTTCTTTTGTATTCTACCAAGGCCACCGGAAACTGAAGCCATGAATCAGTGATGAGCCATATTTCTGATCATAGTTTATGTGAATCAGTAATAACACATGAAATAGCTAAATTGAAATGATAGATCAACAAAGAAATTGCTCCTCTGATGAAGTCATGCTCCGCATTCCCTCGCCTTGATGCCAAACCTGTGGGAAGGTATGACGTCACGAAGTTCCCTTCCAAAGTGTTTTGCTTTAAATACGAATGTTCCGACCACATAGGGGACCAAAATACCAGCCATTTAATTTCCCCAATGTTGTAGGTACACCCTGAATACCCAACAACCACGCATTTTTCGAATGAAGGTTTTAATTAAGGTTTCTGGATATGTAAAGTATTTTGTCGATAAACACAAACATGACCTTGATTTTGACCTTACAAGTCATTAGGAGCTCAAATTTGAAAATTCAGATAGCTACACCATGTCTAACAGCAGAATTACATAGAACCTCAGAGTTCACGCGAGATTGTATCTTCATGATCAGATCAAGCAATCTTAGCGGTCAGAAGAATGATATACTAATGGTTTTCAAGTTATCGAGAAAGCGACTCATCCATTACCCGAAATGTGAAATAAATAATGACTTCAAGAGTCATTTGGAGGTCAAGTTTCTAAAATTACCATTTTTGACAGCAGATTTTTGCAGACCTCCGAATTTCACACCTGACTGCTGTCAAAACTAATAGTTGCTCTTTGAATTTACAGACTTAACTTCCAAATTATAATACCTCTGAGGAAACTATCGAGGTCAATTTGAGTTTAAATATAAATTACCGTTTGGATAATCTGAAACTTTTATTAGGTTGTTTTTTTTTTCCAAAAATTGCGTGTACTTCAATTCCTGTTGGTGTACCTTTCAGCCCTTAACTGTAGGACAGACTAAGTGTACCACTTATGACCACTTGGCCTCATGTGTGTAATTTCAAACCCTACACGAGTCTGATGGTTACTATTTCAATTTTCAAACTTGACCTACAAATAACTTCTAAAGTCATGATTTACGTCATATTTGAGATCATCTACAAATTGCAGACTTTTTATAGAACTAATTTACAAAAGAAGGCATAATTACGTAGTATTTCGGGTGTTTGGATGTTTAATAGTTACATAATACGAATCAATACTGACTATAAAAGTTACATAGTTACATCGGATATCATATTCGTATTAGTTTAATCATTAGACGAAGATACTCCTGGTTTGCGAAATAATTGTAAAGTCTGGTTTTATTGCTGCAAGATGTTCAAGGAGGTATTCAAAACACACAAAAAAATGGGTACACCAATTTTTGTGGGTATTTTTATTCGACAAAAAAGAATGAGAAAACGTGTTTCTTGGGATTCAATCGAAACTGTTTGCAGGAACGAAAAAACTCATATAACATCCTTTACTTATTTATGAGGCCTAGAAAATGAGACTGCGCGTAAAAGATCCGACTTATAGCAAAAAAGTTATTGCCGAAAACCGAGGCAAACTGCTGGTTGGTAGGATTCGTATTTCTACAAGTATGTTAGTTTTTAGAATTTATAATTCTTTATCCCAACGGTTAGTTCGAAGGGCCTTTCATAGCAAAATACACTAGTTTACCTTGCCGACATGAAGCGCAAACCATTCAGAAAGATAAATGTTATTTTTATGCAAAAGGATGGGTTACGTTTTTTCTTCTAAACAAATTCCAACACTTCGTATTTGTGAGTAATTCGCAACAAAAGATGATAGACCCATCCGCTTCATTTTAAATGTGTATAGTAACGTATGTTCTTCGAAAATCCTAGCGCATTTGTTAAATTACCCACAAATACGAAATGTTTGAATTTGTTTAGAAGAATAAAACGTAAGCTTTGTTTTTCGCATAAAAATAACATTTATCTTCCGGAATGGTTTGTGATTCATATCCCTTCCTCGAGTCAGTGGTTGAGATAAGACGTGTTTTACACGGCTCCTATATCAGTGCCTGTTTAGTAGATTTGCAGTAACAGTTTTTTACTCTAAAATTGTGTCTGAAGTGTTTGAATAGTTTTGGACTACCCCATCTCGAAGAGGTACAACAATTTTTGCGTATTTATTGCATTATTTGCTAGTTTTGTGGAGTTAATCTCTGTTGTCAACACATCCTTTTTTGTGTATCATAGGCGTAACATCATGCCTCCATCCAATTTAATTTGTGCCTGCTGTAATAAATCGTTCAAGCTGAATATGATGATCAAATGTACAGTTTGCATGAAGGCTTTTAGGCATTTATGTGTCAATTCAACTATTGATGAGGTGAACATCTTACTTAAATGACCAAAGCAAAGGCTACTCGTGGTCATGTTCTAGCTGCAGAAATATCAATAATCAAATCAACATAGCTACATAGAAAAAAACTTGAACTTTTAGAAATAGAAATAAAACGAAGAATGCTTAACAATTAGTTGTATTGAATATAGATTTGTTATAAATTGGCGAAGTATTCATTTATTAACATCTGTTTAACAACCTGGCCTGAGCGATTGTCATATCTAACATCACCCTGTTCATTTATTTCTTCATCTTCAGAATGATCGATCCACTCTTCAGGTATTGCTTCATTCTCTTCTATAGCAATATTATGTAGGACCGCTGTGGCGATAATTATTGCCATGATTGTATGTAGATCAAGTCTCATACCTAATTTTAAGATAGGAAATCGTCTTTTCCAATCACCATGTTGCGTCTCTACCACATTCCGTGTCCTAATTATTGATTCATTATTTAAATTTTCTGCCTCCATATTAATATCTTGAAGTTTTGTCATCAGATATGGACGTAAATGATCAAACCTGTTGAAATAATCTTCTCTTTTCCTATACACTTTCGTTTTACGAATAGTAGGTATGTCCTCATCAGATGAAGAGCTGCTGCTGCTACTTTGCCATAGATTCATCTAGGATATAAACACGTACATGAAAATAAATATTTCCAAGGATTATTTTGTACTGTAAATACTTACCATATTGTTCAAAGAAATGTGGGTTTGTATAAAAATATCGCTTCAATCTGCAGTTCAACAAATAGCGTCCAAACGTCCAAATGACACAACAAAGAAAGAAAGATTATGTTAAACATTTAATTCCCCAATTAACCGCTTAACAGGCCGAAATCGAGCAGTTAACTTAACGGCCAATTAGAAAATTTTAACTGGCTGATTAGAGATTATGAAATCCATTCAATCGTTGAAATCTCGATTAAATTTAACTGGAGAATTAATTTTGATTATGAAACCGGCCCTAACTGAGACATGGTTAAGTGATGTGTGTTTGCGATTCTGAATTTTTTCCAAATGTCTATAATGTGTACAGAAAAGACCGTAAATTTGATAGAGTTTATAAATCGTCTGGTGGGGGTGTTATATTGGCTATAAAGGACTTTATAAGCTTAGAAGTGATAGATGTAGCAGCTTTTGATACTCATTTTCCGTATATTGATCTGCTAATTGTTAAGTATAAGGTAGAATTTGAAACTTTTTATATAGCCACTTTGTATGTGCCTGACAAAATAGGACTTGAGGAATTTGAGTCATTTTTGAGTGTTTTGAGCAACTGGATTATTTAAACAACAATAGCACAATCCTAGTGGGTGATTTTAATGTCCCGCATTTTGTTGTGAACAACCCTTCTGATGCTAAGACAGAAATTGTACTTAACTATATGGCCTTGTTTAATCTCAGACAGTATAACAACGCCCGTAATGGATTAAATCGGTTGCTTGATTTGGTCATATCTCACTACTCTTGTGTAGTAGGTCATGACACCACGCCTATGGTGCCTGAGGATGACCATCATCCGGCACTGTTAATTAGTATACCAAATTTATTTGCAAGGGAGGCTAAATTTCGCTACAATTTAACGAATAAGGTATACAATTTAGAAATGCCGATTTTCCTTCACTGTATAGAGAACTCCTATCAATAAATTGGACTTCGACTGTGAATTCTGATGATATAGATATCGCACTAGATCGTTTTTATGAAAAATTGTACAGCACTTTTGATACTCATATACCTGTATACAAAAATTATTGTCACAAGTACCCACCTTGGTATAATTCCAATATTATTAAAAGTATTAAACAAAAAGCTAAATACAGGAAAAGGTTTGCTAAGCTTGGACATCAGTCAGATCTTGAAGAATTTCAGAGACTGCGCCGTTCAATCAAATCTCAATTAAAGAGGGCGTATAATATCTACATGGAGAATGTTCAGAATAGTTTAGTTAGCAATCCAAAGAAATTTTGGTCGTTCACGAACATGAAAAATAGTACATCACGAATTCCTGGCGAAATGAAGTATCAAAATAATACGTACTGTCAGCCTCAGTCGATTGTCAATGTATTTGCTTTTTCAGCAGTGTTTACCACCAATCAGACTTAAACGTTGATATCGTTGAGCACGTTAACCATAACATCCATCTAATTTTAGCTCCTATCCAGGATAGCGAAGTTATTTTAGCCATTAGTCAGCTAAAGGATAAGATGACTTCGGGTCCTGATGGTATTCCTTCGTTCCTTGTAAAGGACTGTGCTAGAGCTTTTTCTACTGTTTACTCTCTTATTCAACATGTGCTTAAAATCTAATATATTCCCGAATATATGGAAGGTGTCCAAAGTTTGTCCGGTCTTCAAAAATAGAGCAAAATCAGATGTCGAGAATTATCTTCCAATTTCTCTTATATGCATTTTTGCGAAAGTCTTTGAAGTAATCTTGTACAATCGCTTGTATCCTTCAATAAAAAATCAAATATCACAAAAGCAGCACGGTTTTGTCAGCAACCGATCTACAGTCACCAATTTGGTTATTTTAACCCAATATATTTCTGAAGCTCTAGATGATAACTGCCAAGTTGATGTGATCTATACGGATTTTTCAAAGGCATTTGACAAATTGATCATGGGGTTTTGTTGATGAACTTGGTCACTTTGGCCTTTAGCGCTATAACATTCTTCAGGTCGTATTTGTCAGAGCGAAAACAATTTGTTGAATATAATGGCTTCAAATCTGAAACCTACTTAGCCCCATCTGGTGTTCCCCAGGGGTCCATCTTGCGACCATTGTTATTTTTATTATCCATAAATGATCTTTGTGAAAGTATGAATGGTCAACAGTTATGCTTTGCAGATGATATGAAGATATATTCATCAATCAGTGACGTGCAGGAATGCTTAGATTTACAGATGCAGTTAAGTAGTGTTAGGATTTTGGTGCGATCTCAATAAATTACATCTAAATAATCTAAGTAAAGTGCAGAGTAGTAGCTATAAGCAGAAGAAAAATGTTGTATTCAACTATAATATCGAGTGGTGTGGGTGCTGGAAAGAGCGATATAGTCAAGATTTGGGTATTATATATGACCATAAATTAACATTTACTACTCATATTTCGCGGAAAGTTTCGGAAGCCTTTTAAGTCTTACGGTTTCATTGTCAGGAACTGTAGGCGATTTGATAACTTATGTGCCTTAAAAGTCTTATATTTTACATATGTACGTACAAAACTAGAATATGCGAGTGTGTGTATGGAATCCGTATTACCAGACTTATATAAATGATATTGAGAGGGTCCAAAGAAAATTTCTAAAGTTTCTATACTTCAAATCTGAAGGAGTTTACCCTGAGCAAGGCATTAGCAATATGGA